CTGCCCGGTAGGTGTGCTCATACGCCACTGAGAGGTATAACTGCCCGACTTCTGGGGCGATATCATGTCCACCGAGATGTCCGTCTGATCGCCCGGTCCGAGTGGGTCGACGAGCACGCGCTCCGAGTGGCACATCTGGTCGCCGGCCATAAACCGTAAGTGACAGCCGATAGGCCACGGCTCGGTCCCTGTAGGCATAGGTGCACGTGTGATAAGTGATAGGCATTTAGTGGATTTATCATGGTGTTTATTTTAATTATAAGTGATTTAATGTGTGTAATTGAGTTGATGTTGTTATTAAAATACTAGTGTAAATAAACTAAACTAGAATAACAACTAGTTAATCTAAATAATTTATGTAAACATTTAACTAATCACTGCCAAAATTATAACTAACAACTAACACAGTAAGTAATAGCTCATGATCAAAACCATACACATATAAATAGCTAGATTAAAACCATAAATCATCACCACTGGACATACATACACTCACAAGACCTAGCCTAACCTATCCCACAACCACTACTACCCACAACCCACTACTACCCACAACTACTACAACCCACAACCACTACTGGTATATAAATCACGGTAAACTCCTAACACAAAAAAACATCTAGATGTCCAAAAAAAAGCAAACTAAAACCACACATGATAATCAACAACAATCAATATTAATGCTCGCGTGCGTACCGGAGTTGGCGATCCTCCAAGTCTTGGTAAAATTGGCGTTTGGGGGCACCTCTTCGCCCTCACCGATGGTCACATCGTTGACCAGTTTCATTGACCAGCCCGCGCCCACCCGCGCCATGCCTTCCGGCTGTTCGTAGTCGAAGTAGGAACAGATGGCCGCCTGTAGGTTCCTGTTAAATACCACCATGGTGTATAAAAATACAAACAAACAATTAATATGGTTATTATTTAGAGTATAAATGAGTTAAACACAGGGTTTATGGGATGTTTGCAAGGTATATAAGGGTATATCTGGGACTTAGAGAGCTATTTTGTTGGCCACATCGGGGTAATAGTGGTTACCATATGATTGGTCTACTAATCACTGACTAAATCCCGGTATTAATAATCAAATTATTAAAAGCTATTCAATTAAAAGCTTAATACAACTAATAACTACACTAAAACCATATTATAAAACAAACTAGATCAATATAAGGTTTCTAACACTCTCCCCACCCCAACAACCCCTGTAAAGAAAGGGGGCGGCGGACAGACAGGGTTTACCACAAGTTATGACCATTCACTACAAGTGCCTAAACACAAACTAAAAACCCTTATAAAAAACCACAAACTCATAGCACAGGGGGTGTGCGCTATGGGTGAGGGGTAGGGGTCAAGAGGGGGTTGGGTGTGTGGTGTAGAGCCTGACTGACCAGTTGTTCATATCGAGCCAAAAGTGGGCCGAATCGTCGGTCACGTGTTCGCCCAACAGTAGCTTCAATTGGTTGACCAAAACGTCCCGATCGGTGGTATTCATACACGAGAAGCGTTGCAACAGCTCAGCGGTCAGGTCTGGCTGTTGGCCACCACCGCCGGCACCGGGAGGGGGCTGTTGTTGTTGTTGCTGCTGCTGTTGGTCACCGCCCCCGCAGTCACCGCCGCTCAGATCCATATCCATTTGCTAGTAATCACAAAAAATACAATACAATTAACTTTTGGTTTTAAATACAGTAATAAATATGATGTTAACACACGTGTGTATACTGTATTGTACTGTCACATGTGGGGGGTAGGGGTGAAAATGATTAGACCCACCCGGGAGGGTAGGGTTGAGGGGGTGTTATGCGATAACTCGCAAATAGTTTGTTAACCCTATTACTAAATTGTAGACCAAATTACAGTCAACACACGGTTTTCATACACTGAATCACAGTCCAAAAGTGTGGTGGAGGTTTGGGGAGGGGGTGGAGGGCACTGACCCTTACGCCACCCCCTTTGTGACATCAAACATGGTCAAAAACGGTTAACATTGAGTAGTGGTTACTTACGTTTGAGACCATTTAGATAAGGTGATTAGATAACGCGATTAATGTGGCCACCAATGAATGGATTAGTTATTATTATTATTATTAATTAATAAATTAGTTTTAGTTATTAATTAATTAAATGTCGATTAATATTATTACTGATTGATACCATGATTGATTTGTGTGATTACAGTGTGTGTTTACATTTTGCTAATTTATTAGCCCATGGTGCAAATGCAAACAAAATAGTAAATACCAAATTTGCTAAATGAGCTAGTTGTGATTTGTTGTGACAATAGACAAACACGTGATCCAAAAAACACTAGCTATTTATAAAGCGAAGGCCGACTGTAATTAACGGGACTTTTAATTACTTACTTATTATTATTAATAGGCATTTAATTGCGGATTAAAACATCTACAGTAAATAATAATCATAACAGTATTTATGGTGTATATGTATTATACATGTATATCCCATATATACGTATAGATAGCGTGTATATACAGTATATATATACAGCCTATGGATTGCAACGTTTCGCATACATCTGTATATAGACTGTATATAACGTACGCTATAATAGCGCATGACTTGTACAGCGAGTACAGTTCACTCTGCGTATAGCGTACACTATGTCTAATGACTAATGAATCATTAGTAATGATTAATTAGTTTGCATTTTAATTAACGCTGATTAATAATTAAAATCTAGATATAATTTACAATAAATACCTTGATCATTAGAATTACACATTTAATCAAATAGACTCTACGTTTCCTAAGTCGAAACTACTAACCTGGGTTATCCTTGAATTATTTCAGATGGTAAAATACATTCAATTGTTGAAATGTATAAATGTGTACTTACATTATAGCGATTATTTGTTAAACAAATTATTTAATTTCAAATCTGTTTTCACAAATTGTAACTGGATAAATTTGTGATTGATAGATATATAATATTATATAGTTGTATCTCATAATCTGGTAGTAATCTAAGATAATAAACAAATTTCATAACAGATTGGAAAACAATGGGATTTTGTAATGTGATGTAAAATTATGTAACAAAGTACAAAATATAATCAATTATTAACCATAGTACTTAGTATATTGTTAATAAAAGAACTTAGAAAACAGAATATTACAAAACTTGATTTTTTAAATTTTGGTAATTAATAGGCAATTGATTATTAAAATTTACTGAGTATTTTTAACCACAATTCAGAATGAAGAATGTGGTTTATAGGATCTCGACGCTACCCCTCCCTCTTTATGGGATTACAGCTTAAGTCTATGGCATAAGGATAACATGAATAATGCTAAGTCTATGGGAGTAATGTTATTTCAATGGGATAATGCTTTTTCTATGTATACTAAATGAATAAGACACAATAAATCGAACTAATTGTTGTCAAAAACATATAAAATTCTGAAAATAACAAAAGTGTAAGTATTCTAACAACGTATTGAAAAATTTAAAATTTTGATGCATTTCCCAAATTGTGGTTATATTATAACATCAATGTGTGATCCTTGTTTATTTTAAATATTTTGGCATATAAATTGTTAAAATTGATCAAGTAGCCTTTGTGCTATAAGATCATACCTTGCTAAAAGGTAATGTAGTTTTATGTAATCTGAAATAGCCAAATTATTTGTTTTAATTAATTAATTAAAATTAATTATCTATACTCCAGTTTGAAGTGTGAAATACCTAAGT